AGGATTACCCATGCCCCTGAAAAACAGTGTAAATTATGCTACAAGAAATCACACAAGAATTATGGAATATCTTGGGAGTAAGGAGTCGCCTGAATGCTAGAGAGCATTTATTTGAAAGCAAAATATATAATCACAATTCTTTGGCAAGTTATCATTTAAAATGGGCCAAGTTTTTTTTCAACTGTCAATTCCGCACAGCAGGGTAATTCAAGTGTGCTCGTGTTCTCACCCTTAACAAATGACATAAAAGGTAAGGTCTATTAGAAAGTTCATGGCAATCACCTATAAAAAGAAGTGTTAATCTAAATGCAAGAAATTACACCCAGGTCCCTTTCTTCTGGCCTGTCCTTTTCAGCATTCAGATGCCTGCTCTTTCCAGTAGAGGAGGCCTAGCACCCACTTTACTGCAACTTCTGTTTCCACAGATCAGGACAGGAGGCGACAGTGAAGCACAAAAAAGGGATTTCTAGCGTATGGGGAACAGCGTGTCCCTAGAGCAGACAGCTTTCAAATAGAAGCTCATGCACTGTGACGTACAAGAGCTTGGTAAATCAGAAGTATGTAACCCAAATCTGAGAATACTATTATTTAACATTTCATCTTTTCAGAGAGAGGGCACCAGTTACGAAGCCTGATGAAAAAGGGAGGAAAAAAAAAAATCCACTGTCTGTGAATTTTCGTTCAGAATTTTCCATTCCACCCATTTACCTGAAAATGGGAAATACACTGAATGAGAAAATAATCTACTTGTTTAAGGTCAAGACACTGACTTAAACAATTTATTTAAAAAAATCCAAATAAAACTGAGTGTTTCACGCTGCATCTGCCCTCACCCACTGACCTGCATTTCAATTTAGAGTCATTTAAGCTTGTTTCTTCAAAATAAGCATGTGGAGACACATCCTATGCTGAGCTTGTTTCTGTCACTCATTTTCATGGCACGAGGTATGTTATGTTCATTTTCCCCTTGGTTTCTCTCATCATGAACTAGCCCATGGGACTCTCTTAAAACAACACTGTATTAGCAAAGTTAAGACAGTCAAACACGAGGAATATACAGAGCTTCCCAAATGAATGCAAACGTTTTTGGAAGCACTAACAAACGTGTAATTTAGCACTGAACATCAATCGCTCCTCACAGCTGGAGTAAAATCTTGGTGGCAGGAAAAGGGACTGCCAGGGCCCTGTGGTAATCCTCACATCTTCGTGGAAGCATTCGGTATTGATCTTTAGCAGAGACAGAACTGCAAGACTAAGCAAGCCACAGGCCTGAGCTAATGTGGCAGCTCCTGTTTTGCCTGTGAAGTGGACTGAGCAGAGCCACCACCACATGAAGTATCAGGAGGATAATGCTTTGGACACCAGTACAGGCATTCGACCTACCGTCATCTCAGAAAACAGGTTGCCAAATTTTCTGAGAAAATACATGTTCTGTTTGGCAGACAAATTCACTGTGGTGTTCTAACCTTTTAGCAGGTTTTCAGAGACAAAACTGGATTCCCAGAAAGCTTAAGACCGTGATAAACGTCAGTTTCTTGCTACATAACATTACAGAAAGTAAAACCGACACCATCACATGCAACTCAAAGTGCTGATCTTAGCAATATTCTCTTTTTCCAAGTACAAGCTATAGCTTCTTATGACTGTTTCACAGAATGTCAAACTATACACTTACTCACTGGTGTAAATAACACACACTGGAAAGAAAAACAAAAGAGAGGAAGAGACCCAGCTTGGAAAACAAACCATCAATTTTCTTTTCAAATGTAGCTGAACAGGAGAGTTGAGAGGGAACAGATTAATGATTATGAGTGCTAAACAAGGACTTCAGCATAAAATTATTATCATGTCCAGATGTTGGTTTTGCCTTTGACAGTTGCTTGAGGTTTCACTTACATAAATACAGATATGCATCTAGGCTTAAGGCATCTACATGTATTTAAAATGCCCGTAATATCTTTAAGAATCTGACCTTTATACATTCTGCACTCCAGTTCACCTGCAAAATGATGAAGATGGTGATGGGGTAAAAACCAAAAAATGTTTCTTTAAATACTGAGGACGTAATTTAGTAATAGAACATATTAGTGTTAGCAGATGCATTGAACAGTGAGTCCTGCAACAAGATGAAGTAGTTCTTATGCATAGAAATTGTAATATTGCCCCAGATGATGATTTTAAATCCATGTAAAATTTGAGTAGATGTTTGTTAAAGGTCTTTTCCAGACTACACAAGTCTATGATTCTATGACTGACACCTCTTAATGTATACCACCTCTTCTAAAAAATTTCTTTGCTGTTGGAAGCTTTTTAAAAAATAAGTCAAAGATGGACCTCTCCCTTGAAAGAATTACGTGTATCTGTTATTACTGTGCAGCCAAGTTGAAATACTCCCTCCATCTTCTATTCCAAAACAGATGGCAAATAACAAGCAAGTTGGAACATTCACTGCTTATAGTATTTAGCTTGCGGTTAAGGACTTTCCAACTTTCTGGGTTAGCACCATCTCACCAGAAAACTGCTGTAGTTCAAGGAGGAGTAGCACAGTTGACATAAGTCAGTCTCAAACCAGCCTTCCTATACTTAATAGCTTCTTGTGTCAGCATGTGTCCTAAGCTGAAACAACTCAGACTGAATTTGGCTACAACCTAAGAGTAAAGGGATGTGTTTAGCAGATGAAACTAGCAGGAACAGAGGAGCTTAATCTGGTCAGAGGTTCCGAAAGCAGTGAAGCGCTATGGCTGCTGATGCATTGAAGGTAAAAGGGGAAAGTTTTATCTTTTTTTTCCTGGTTCCTCACAGTTTAGACACTTGAATTTTTACTGAGCAGCATTCTACTGCTCAAGTGGGGGAGGAGACAGAGTGGCAAGGTTTTTCTTAATGCTTCTGCAAGCCTACCAGGACTGCGCTATTCCAAAGTAAACAGCTACCCTGAAAACACACAAGCCTTAAGCAATTAAATTTACTATGCTTACAAGTGACATTGTTGTTCTGTGACATAAGTAATTAATAATCTCTCATTTTAACAAGTCACAGTAGGCTAGAGTCTTTCTTTAGCATTCCACATAAAAATACATCTGTAGCGGTGTAAACGACAATTGATTTTAGGTTTTCCAGACTAGAAATACTTACACAAAAAGCTTCTTCAAAGTAATACACAATGGATGACATACCTCCTTAAATGTGTTTTGGTAACCTTGTTTATTCCTTTAAAAACATAATCAACTACTATGTCCCAAGCCAGCTCTTTAAATCATGCCACTTCCTTACGTAGGTTAGTATCAGTTCAAGAGTACTGAACATACAGTCCTCATTAATTTCAGTCTTCCTTAAATTTTCATGTTAGAATAGTGGTTATGGGATGTTCAGTACTCTTCTAGTCAGAGTGCTAACATGGCTTAAGCTAAACTCCAAACTCCTAGTTTCAAAACTCTCACCTTCAGCTAGCAGACTCATGCAACTTCAGCAAAACTGTTTTTGGAGAAACATGAATTGCAGAGACTTCAGAAGAATTTTCATTATCATGTTTAAAATAACGTATGGGAATAAAATAGAAGCACAACTTTGGTTTACAAAGCATAGCTTTAATTATACAGATTGCTTCAATGAGTTTTCAAACATAGATGTAAAAAAGTCACCAGTGTTTTATGTATGCTTTCTGAAATAACATCATAACATTTACTTTTGAAATACTTATTGCTAATATGTTAATAATTGTTGCGTTTTACCAAGTGTTAAGTATTGATAAATTTTTAAGTGTTCAATAATAATTAACTCACCATTGAAATGCCATCTTCAAACATTCTCTAGTGCATATGTGCTTTCATAGGGATTCAGGCATTACTCTGATTTACAGTTTACAAAGAACTTAAATATGTCTGCTAGACTCAAATTGGAGCCTTTCTTAAATTACAGAAAAAAAACCCAAAACAGCTAACCTACTGAAGTGGCATAAATAACTCAGAAAGAAGACAATGACTTGGTCATAAAAGCTAACAAATTTATCTACTTAGACCTTCAGTTTTAGTCTTTTCTTGGTCTCAGGAAGAACGTGAAATACCAGAAAGTGAATGATTGCTTGGTCCAGAGCATTCTGGTATAATAACAATAATCTGGGGAATTCAAATAGATTGTGAGGAATTTCATATGGAACAAATTATATTAAAGAAGATTCTTTAATGAAATGTCATTTTGACTCATGGAGTAGATTAAGTAATTTGGAAGGAAGTCTTCCGGGCCAGTCAGGCTCCAAGTGGATTTCTTTTTATTGTTCCCCAATGCATACCTCAAGAGGTAGCACGGTGATTTTATCATTACACAAACTGAATTTTGGCTTCTTTTCTGAAATTATCAGCAAAGGCACAAACCTGGAGGTGATTTCTTATTCTAAGCAAACTGCTCAGCCACAGCTCCCTTTGAATAAGCCCAAAAGCAGTCAGAAAGTGGTTTCCACTGATGCATGTGGCAGTTAAAAATAGTGAGAATCTGGTATCCTATTAATAATCTCCCAATTACTTACTTCTTTCATCATGTCATTTTCAAAACAGTCTTGCAATGTTTATAACCTTCTACACCACTGTAAACTGAATTTGATAACTCAACTCTTCCACAGAGCAGGAGTTTAACCTTCCACAGGCTCTTTTGATATCAAACAGCAGTATATACTTTGAGAACAGATTCAGATTGGTATTTAAGATATTTTTCACTTGCATTTTAGTTTCTCACAAAACAAAGTATCACTGATTTGCAATGACCATAATATAGCTGACATCCATGTAATTCTGTCTGTATCACATCAGCATATGGCATATTAGAAAAAAAATACAGTTCATCAATGAAACAATTTCATTTTGAAAAGTTACTTTAGCTGTATGTTATGGGACAGAAAGAAGGCAACTTAGGTTAAATATGTCACACAGAAAATCCAAAGACCAGAATGCAGTCTTAGAGACCTGGAGGTTTAGAGGCATGATTTCAGAAGAATCAAAAAGGAATCTGAAATGATGCAACATAAAATTGCAAGGATCTCACGATTAATTTTCATGTTTGAAAGGTTCAGGTTGAAACATGCTGCCTGTTCAAACATTCTGTGAAAGAACATGGAGGATCTTAGTTCTTAAAAATGCTGTCAGATAAAATACGTCACCCATGTGACCCCCACAAAACCATTGTCTGCTGAAGCTCCAAACACATCAGCACTTGACAGAGGTTTCCAAAAGGCCAAAATCAGTCTCTTTAGTCACTAAATGAAGATTCACTATCAGAACTATCTTCTGCTTTCCCATCATCTCCCCAGGCAGGCACGGGAGCATTGGGGGTCCTGTAGGCAACAAAAACATTTTGCATTGTAAATCTTAGAGGATGGCTGAGAACACAAGCAGCTTAGCACCTACAGCTAATATCCTTTCACTGCCATTGCATGCACTTTATTTCCATAACATGGAACACATGAACTATGTATGGTTCACAAACCTTTATTGGCATTGCTTCACTTACAACTGAAAGATAAACACTAGAAACTGTAACTCACTGGGCATCAAAATTCTGCAGACATCAGTCTCAACACACACCTTTGAGGATATCAGAAGTAATGACAGATCACTAAGAAGTGGCAAACACTTGTAGAAAGAGTCGCAAGCAGGCAATACTGATTAATTCAATTTTTGTCAGTCTTCAGAGGTTCTAGGGCTGAAAGGAACATGCTGTACATCATTAAGCAGTGTAAATAGTACGTGAAAAAAATAAGACAGGAAATGAACAATATTGTATCCAACTAAAACTGCAGGGAAAATTTAGAGAAGCAAAAAAAGAATTACTCAGAGTGTAATTTGGCTAGAACATTGGGTTAAATTTGACATGCAAGAGCAGCCATGGGATTTTTATTGACTATAAATGATCAGAACTCTTGTATTTAGTTTTGAAGAGAATATTTAAGATGGATCTTAACATCTTGTCCAAACATTTGCTCAAGAAATCTACTGGCAATGGAAGGGACAGAAGCAAACCATCTAAAAACTAACACTACTCACTGAAGATACTGGCTCTTCCTGGAGTGTCCCTCCCATGTATGTAATGAGCCTAGCAAATTCTGAAGCCAAGGTAGAAAATATACACACAGTTATACTTGGGGAAGAATGACCTTCTCAGAAGTAGCTTCCTGTATGACAGTGATTTCTCTGACAAAAATATCGCATTTCAAACTAAGCTGATAATTGTATTATTCGTCCTGTTGTTATTTATCTTGGGGCTACCTCTACATGTCATGCCATGGAATTTCTTTTCCAACTTCAGTTCTGTTTATTGTAATTCCTGTGTTGGAAATCCCTGAGGTACCTTTAAAGTGTTCCTAAACATTTTGGGAACAAAAATGAGAAGTGCATTAAAGAACTGTAAGAGAGCCTTCTCCCTCCCTGCTGCACACCTCTAAAATAAATTAAGAAAGTGCTTTCTCATGCAAATACCACTTCACAATATTATTCCTTGTTGCCATGGTAATGACAAAACAGAAGAGCTGTGCAAAGACGTGATCTGGAGAGACCACTGCAAAAACTCTCCTTTAGTAAGGAGGGGAAGATGGTAATGAATTCCTTTAGTTTGAGAGAGCAGGACAAACTCTCCTGGAATTGTAGACAGGCAAGAGACGAAGGATAAGAAACAAAAGTTAAAAAGTTATAAATTCTGTAGAAAGGTGTGATAACAGAAGTGAGACAGCCAAAGGAAGACAGCATACACAACTTAAGAGAATCAGCATCCCTGCAGCCACAGAAAACTATCTTCAGTGACTGGCACGTAGCTGGCAAAGTCTTCAGTAAGTGACTGAGCATACAGCAATACGTACATTTTCCTAATTTTCACTGAGACTAGTGGGCAGGCCTAGGGAATCTGAAGATCCAGAAACTCTGGTGTGAATGGCAAGATACATATTTAAAAAAAAAAATCTATTATATTGAGACAAGAAGGGAATAAAATTAAAAGAAAGGTCACCCATGATTCCTTAAAATATTATGTATTATGCACCTTGCCAAATACTTAGTTTTCTTTCACCAGGCAGATTGGCTATACAGCTTTCAAATCAATAATATTTTAAAGAAAATTGGCATAAGCATTACTACTGCACAGAATCTCTGAAGATGGACTTTAAGACCAAACCCCAACAATATTCTGTGAGCACAGTAATAATGTTTCTGTCTTAATCTGAAAAAGACAATCCAAAACCAGTTACTTTTTTAAAAAAAGCTTTTGAAATTCTATTTTTAAAATCTTATTTTTATCTACCTTAAAAATCCACCCAAACATGAAGAAATGGCATTTACAGAAAGGTATGGACCAGAAATGTGGAGCAGAAAATGCAACACATTTAACACACATACTGTAAAACAAGGTTTGACAATCTTGTCTCACATTTGCACAGGTTCTTATTTGTGTTCCTATTTCTCATTCCATCAGTAAAAATACCAAATGAGGAATAACTACTTCAGGCTTATTTAGATGCCAGGAAGCAGCTGGGAGATAGAGTCACTCAAAATATGACGGTACTTTCGTTTTCCTACATTTTCATTTATTTTATTAAACACGTTGTTAGTTTCAGAATAAGCATTTCCAAAATGCAAAAAGACTTCACTGGAAAGGAGAAGCAGACTTTTCAATACATCAACAGCAGAAGAGGATGCAAAAGTGTTTAAAAAAGCTTAGTGGCTGTAATATAAGAATGAAAGTTATTATTTTCATCAGTTTAACAAATTTGGTGAAATATTACAGTTAGTACCTAATTACATGTCAAACGTAAAATAAGACTAAAATTCATGCTTATGGCCAGACGAATAGCTTTGAAAATGAGTATCTATTCTTAGTAATTTTCACATCTGGTTAGCTCAATCAACAATCATAATTTTGAACTGCTGACATCAATTTAGACTGTCAATGTTGAAGGCAAGATGTACACTCCATTTATTGAATCTGGAAACAACTGTGTTGTCCCTCATGCATCCAGCAAAATAAAACAAGAGTTTATTTTTATTACCCTACAGTGATGACATTTGGTTATTGAAGTGTTGAAAGAAAATATCTGGGAGAAACCTCATACTCTAAACAGCACAGTGAAAATGGCTACTGACGTATTATTTGACTCCTCACTGCTAAAGGAACATTGTCAAATGTCACCTTGTCACTGCTACATCCCTTTCCTTGAACTGCACCACCTCTGCTTGGCTTGGAAGGAGTCTTTCCATTTCCTCTCATGTCTGAATGGTCAAGTCCTGCAAATATCTGTTTGGGAAGATGCAGTACCCACCCATTTATTTTCCAGCCTCTGTATTTCCTGGGCCTTGGACTAGAGAGTACTGAAAAGACAGCTCACACTTGATATTGCATATCTCCTCCTTTGGCACTGATGACTCTTTCAGACTGGAAAATGCTCAGAAAGCCTTTCACAGAAGCCTTCAAAACCTGTTTTAATGCTGATAACTTAGATTCATAATTCCATAAACGAGCACATTTTTTTCCATTTTTTAAAAACATCTGGTTGCATTCCAGCCCTACTAAAAGTTGCAAATTACTTACTCGAGAAGATCTGGATTTAGCCCTTCAGAAATCATCTTGTTTCGTATTGCCATGACAGGAACACCCTATGTAGGAGGAGGAAGAATAATATGAAACTACTGGACACAAGCAGGTGAACTAAATTCCACAGGTTCTTTTAGGCTACACTTTCATACAAATTCATGCCTGTCATTTGTTGAACAAAAGCATGGAATGATAATCTCGGCTGCCATCAGTATGAACCTAGAAGCCAGAAATGTCTGAGATCAAAGGCCCTTTCCATCATTCTTTTATTTATGGCAAAACATCCAGAGAAAGTTGCAGGGAGAGAATTGGGAATGGAATATTTGCAATGCACGCAGACAAAATCAGGAAGCTGAAGTTACATGCATGTATGAGAATGTGAAGAAAGCACAAAGTAGCGCAAAGACAGCAGAGAACAACTGTACTGAAGGCAGAGCCGAAGAGGGAAGAAAACCAGGAAAGTGCCTCTGCTACAGCTCCGGAAGGACACCTTAAGGCGGTGCTTAAAACTGGAGAAGTCTTTAAAAAGCATGCAGAAAAAGGCAAGCAGGACATGAGAAGAGAAGCACAATTTAAAAGTGATTCCTCTGAATAAAAGTGCTTGTACAGTCAGGCTTGAAACTTCTGTGACTTGTGGACAGATTTTAGCCAACTATATACGTGTTAAAAAAAAATCCTTCCTTTCACTGCAAGCTCCTCCACAGCTTCTGCACGTCATTTTATTCAGCAACACCTAAATATCCCCTCATCTTGGATCGTGTACCCAAGAACACTTTGAACCACGTCGCCTTACGAGATACATTCCAACAAACCACTCCCGTGTTTCCACTAGCATTGCTCAAACACAACTTGTTGCTTTGCCATCCCCTGTTGCAAACCATCAGAAAAACCACCTGGACCCCTCCATGCCAAGAGAGGAGGGAGGGGAAAACAGACAAAAAAGAAAAAAACAAGCAGAACCCACAATCAAGCAAACAAACAAACAAACAAAAAAAAAAAAGAAAAAAGCAACCAAACAAAACCCAGAATCAATCAAAAAAAAAAAAACAAAAGGAGGCTATAATTTCTGATTTCCAAGGGCAAGGCTACTGGTGGTCTAGGAAAGTCGAGAAAGGCCTCACAAACTAAATGAAGAGCAGTGTAGGATTCTTTTGGCACAGGACAAATATATTTTGTCCAAAATAAGTAAAATAGTGATAAAATAAAGGGCAGCTATGACTAATAATAATGTTCCAGAGAAGCATTTGGTACTAGTGACAGTTGCAGTAGCTAACCTGGAAAAGTGAGAGCTAAGCTAGCTGTCTTCCTGTGTTTTCCTTGTGCAGTTTCAGAGTAAGAACCACAACCAAGACTTGCTCATGAAGATTCTGGAATAGCACACACGTAGGCACATAGTTTTAGCAATCTATTAGGCGTATTGGCAGAAATGTGACTCAAACAGTTGCAAGGAATCTGCTTGTAATAAGGATTTTATCATTAATTCACATCTAATGCATATTACCAAGGGAAAAGCATTTGAGTATTTCATGACAGTTTAAAATATTCACTTATTCTAGCACAGATTTGGGCACCAGGGATTGTGTGTCTACACACTGCCTCGTACCAACTCGTGTTTTTTCCCCTTGCTTTGACTGCTCTTAGGGTTCCTTTCCCCAGCTCAGAAGTCACTCAAGATTATGCATCAAATCAAACCAAGTGAAAACAAGATGGAGCCAAATCAGGCAAAGCAGAATTTGTGTTTGCTTTCAATGAAAAGGAACTTTTAAGAATGGATTGGAAACTGTTATGCTTTTATGCTCACACTGGTAGAAGCGTTTTATTTCAAAATTGTATGCATCAAAATACCTAAGAAAAAGCCCTCTCAGTACTCTCATACATATAACAGATTTAGAAAAGTAACCCAAAGTTCAATCAAAATACCCTGTAACAGTGCACTTCTTTCCTGAAGAAAAACAAACAAAATTGTTCCTGTACCTATTTATAATATAATTAGGGCATTACAATTACCTTATCTTTCATACTTTCCTAAGTTTTAATCTGGAAAATCAGCCCCCGATACTGCTGTGACCCTAAATCTTACTAAAATAAAACAGACAACTATGTTAAATCTAAACAGTAACTACACTGAGCCTACAGGGCCACTGAAATGGCCCACATGTACTTTTCTAATATAGGAGCCAATATTAAATTTCCATCGCATTTGCCAACTTAAGACTTTAAATAATCAAAATCACTACACATTCTCCCTGTACCCCAGCCCTACTCCCAGCCTGCTCCTCCAGCTTCAGGAAGTAGGCAGGTCCTGGAGAAACCACAGTGAAAGTAGCAATCTTGTTGCAAAGAGGTTTTGGTTCAGAAAAAGGTCACCCACCATGGGTGCCTGCGATTCCTGAACATCAGTGCACTCTCCATCTTTGGTTTTTATTTTAGTCCTTTAAAGCAAGGATCAATCTCTATCAGGCCACTCAGCATCTCGGTGTCTACGCAGTCATATTTCATGTTTAGAATTACATAGAGTATTTGTACTTTAAACACGAAGTTTATTTGAAAGTGTATCTCTGTGTTCCTCTTAGGCTGTCAACAGAAGCCTTCTGAACATTTACTGTATCAAATATAACATTGCTTTCCTAATGTTTGCTTGAATATTATTGTTGTATATTTTAAAAAATACAAATGTAGTATGCTCAATTGCACTCCACTGAAATGAATTTGTTAGGATTTCACAGAGCAGCTATCTTTTGGGAAAAAGAAGTTTCTCTTCATGATGCTAATTCTTAAATACTACAGATATTATGATCAATAAATAAACAATCCGTTCAAACAAATCCTTGGCTAGCAGCTTAACTCTGGCAAATAAATTACACTAACTGAAGTACTTGACTGGATGAAAAGACAAGATTGGCAAATAAAAAAAAACACACATTAATTTGTAGTATGTTAGTTTGACTCTCCTACCACACTGTTTACAACTGGCAGAGGAGTCATCAGAAACTGCCAGTATAACGGACAAATGTGGAAATTGAGATCTCACTTCTCTAGCAGTCACCAAAAAAAAAGAGTCAAAGTAATAAGACCATCCAGCACTTTCACATCCACTTTGAAGTCTGGCATTAGATCAATACACAAGCATGTTCTGCTCTCTGCTACTACCCCACTGCAAGGGTTTCCAAATGGCTTGTGATTCCATTGAAATCATAGTTTGTGATTCAAACGAAATATAAGATCCGGAGTGTCATCCAATATTTGCAGTAATTGCTCTGAAGAGGGAATGAAACTATGAAGTTAGTTTTAATGTAATAACATTTTACTAATACTACGATATAGTCATATTTTCCAGAATTATACTATGTCTTCTCGAGGCAAATTTCCACTGACAGCTTGAAAATAAAGACAGATTTTTTTCTTTGTTTCCAATCTCATTTTTAATTTTGTGGATGTGAGAAAAAAAAAGAGCTCTTAAAAAATGCCATCAGGAATCTCCCATTCACCTTTTCACTCCTTTCATTAGTTGTCACACATGTAAATATTAAGATTACATTATTTCCTATTTATCTGTAGAACAGCCCACAGATAGAGGTGAACAAAACCTGCATCATGAGTAGCAGGAAACTGAAGTGGAAACAAGTAATGGAACAATTCTTGTACCTCTATTTTGAACCCTACAAAACATATCAAATACTCCTGCTCCAGACTATCCTAGCAAATCTGTATTTTGTACCCTACCCAAATTGTAGGGAATTACACCAGTTCTGCCAGAATAACTACACTGGCAGTGGCATCTTTTGTGACTCCAGCTCATATCACTCTGCATTTGCTCATCTTCATACCTTCAGTTAAAAAGTATATTGGCAGAATTTTGTAGAAATATCATGCCTGAAGCTGTATGAGGTAATCTGTTGTATCAACTAATTCATTGGAGAACATGTGCTAGAAATATCGTGATGTTTTCCAAGCTTAAACTTTACTGTTGCAATAAATGTCTTCAGACATTTAAGGTTTGCTTACAGCTGTGTGTGGTGGTCTACTTAAAAATAATGGAGTACCCAAAGAATGGTAAGAGAACTGACTTACCACTTGCACCATTTTGAGATATCTGGCATATCTTGGATCCTTGGCCACAGTTGTGACATCTTCTGTTACAACCTCTGTTTTCTGTAACCCTTCTTCTTGTATATTGTTCTGCTGTATACAGAGAAGATAACATTTTAATGCTTAGGTATGCAGACCAGAATCACAGAGAGATTTCAATCCACAAAATTTGTAATTTAAGGGTAAAGTCCAGCTCTTTGTCATCAAGATTTTTCTGATCTACACTCATACTATTAGAGATTGCCAATATGCATGAATGCACAAAACTCAGCTCTTCCTTTATTCCCTGTTACAAGTGTGACTTCCTAATTTGTCACAATATTAAGTTATTGTGCAATATGTGAAAAAAGAAGCCAATAATAGCTCTGTTAAGTTAATTGTATTTAATAGATAGACCACAACTAAATTTAAATGTTCAGTTTATAAAAAATAATTTTTTAAGGACTGTATCTATGTATCGCCTCTAGTGGTAGAATGCATTTTTTCCTCAAAATATTTATTTGATTACTCAACAAATGTTTCATATAGATCACATAACTTCTAAACCATAGTTTTTAGCAAAAATGATTAATCTAAAGGATAACATAATGAAATCAAGGAATCCTAGAGAGTAATTAATTTTAAAAAAAATGAAAAATGACAAGAGGCTATAGTATTACTTAAAGGGTGACAGAAAGTTGCATATTTGCAGTTAAACTAATCATTTGAAAGGAGAATTGGAAAGCTCCTTTCAGGAATATCGCTCCCTACTTTAATATCTGGGAGGAGGAACATTATAAAAAAAAATGAAGTAACCAGGAATAATTTCCTGAAGTAACCAGGAATTCTTTCCTAACCCGACTGAACTGTGCCATTTTTACTGTCCATTGTGTCTGCCATGTTGCTGGCTGCAAATTAGAGTTACAGTCTTTTACAGGCAGGGGAAAAGCTGCAGAACACTCCAGCTACTGCTGCTCCACAGCAACTTCCATCAAATAAGAGAATGAGCAGAGACTGGAACCGGAGATGCCAAGAAAAGAAACTATAATAGGAAACTAGGGAA